CGGGGCGCAAGTGCACCGTGCGCCGTGATACAGGGTATAACGATTGACCTAAACCCCTCCATAACCCCCAAAATAATTACCCTATTAATTATTCATAATAAATCCCCTTAACCCCATAAAAATCCACTAAACCACAAATTATGACCTCTTATATACCCATCAATTACCTATAATCGATTCTTTTCTTTTTTTTTTTTTGGACAAAATCTTCCTTATATTCATATTCATTAGATTATTAGTAAAATAACACAGAATAATTTTAGAACATTATGATTTCTCACATTACGGATTCTTTTTTATTTTTCTTTTTTGACTGCTAACCTTATTATTATTAAGTGTTTGGGCGGAAAGTTTAAAAAAAATGGTTTTGTTTTTAATAATAGTATAGATATAGATTATTAATAATCGATTCTTTTCCTTTTTTTTTTTTTTTTGCAAAATCTTCATTATATTCGTTATATTAACATTAAAACAATGACCTATAATTTTAATATAAATTTTAAATAATCGATTCTTTTCCTCTATTTTTTTAGCAAAATATTCTTTATATTCATATTCAATAGATTAATAGTAAAGTAACGCGTAGAAATAATTTTAGAACATTATGCCTTCTCGAATTATGAATTCTTTTATATTTTTTTTATTACTGCTAACCTTATTATTATTATTAAGTGTTTGGGTAGGAAGTTAAAAAGTAGGATTTTGTTTTTAATAATAGTATTGAAGTATTGATTGGAGTAGTGATGGAATAATATTGTTGAATAGGAATAGGAATATGAATTTTAATATTGTCATATTGTATTAGGAATAGAAATTTTAATGTAGAATTGTAGTACGAATAGAAAAGTAGGAAACAATGTATTCCATTAGGAATTGTTTTACACTATTTTACAATATTACGCAAAAAAAACAAAAAAACAAAAAAAAAAAAGAAAAAAAAAAAAAAAAAAAAAAAACCTTAATAGTATGATTGTTTTGGGCGGGAAGTTAAAATGGATGATTTTATTTTTATTAATAGTATAGATTTATTTTTGAAGCAAGCATTAGTATAGATTTATTTTTGAAGCAAGCATGAGACTTTATTAGTTATTGTAAGATGTAAGATAAGTTTTTGTTAATTGAAGTAGGAAATCTGATTAGTTATGTTATAACATGAAACCTTATTGTATTATGAGAGGTGGTTCAAACTCCCGACCCCTCTTAAGAAACAAGAGTGCACGGTCACTCACGCTAATCAATCTGATTAGTAACAAACATTTTATTATTAATTAATATTACAATTTTTAGTATAAATACTACATTTTCATATTGACTCAATGACTCGATCTATCTCACGAATCCTTATAGGGGAGCCACTCTAAAATAATTAATATTTTATAAAAAAAAATAATTTTTTAATAAATTTTTGTTTATATTTTTGAAAATGAACTACATTTTGGAAAAAAATATTTTTCTAAATTTTAGCTAAATAAAAAATATAATTTTTTAATTTTCATAGAAACACTAAAAAATAAAATTTTAATTTTTTTTTTTAAATTTTAATTATTTAAAAAAAAATCAATATTTATAAATTCTCAAATTAACCCTAATTTAAAATTTAAAAAAAAAAAAAAAAAAAAAAAAAAAGACTAAAACCCCTTTAGCATGGAATATTGGGAATTTGGGATAAACTAGGGGTGAACAACCCAAACCGGACCGGATTGGATAAATCATAAATTGCGAGTTTGACCCGTTTCCAAATTTCTATTCTGTCTGTAGAGTGCCTTGTTGTATTCTTCTCCTTCTTCCACTTCTTTGTCGCTCTAAATCGCGTTGGATTGAGACAAAGGGAAACCTTACTCCAGAAATTCTCTGTAGGGTTTTGTGAATCTCCGCTGGATAGATATGGAGAACACCAACATCGATAAGCTGGACGGTCTGGCTCGGTGGTTTGGCTCAAGCGTCGCGTCGGCGTTCTTCGCCTCCTTGGAGCGTTGCTCCTGTGTCCACCTTAACACCTTCGACAGCGACGACGAGGATGATGAAGAGGCCAAGAATGTCCCCCTCATGATCAATTCCCTCACTCCTTCTCACATCGACCCTGACAGCTTGAGCCCTAACCCTAAACCTGACACCCTAGCGGCCTCCGTTGAAAAGCTCCCCGTATGATCCCTCTTCCGTCGATAGATCCATCAAATCTTTGGTAAATGTCACATCTTTATCTTTTATGCTCGAAAATTTTTATTGTATTATATCCTTTTGGAGTGGAGTGTATTGCTACTCGGTCCCATCAATGTTGCTTTGTTGGAGTTTTGGAATTTTTATACTATGTTTGAGAGCAATAATAGATAATGTGAAGTGAATGGTGTTGTGAAAACTCTTTTGTTGATTTGATTGGCAATATCTTTATTGGGTTTCCAGTTTCTAGTTGAATACTGTGATTCATATGGCAATGTTGGTACTTATGATTCTAGAGGCTTAACACAATTCGTTGGAATCATTGTGGACAGTTGAATGAGTAGTTTGGTTGCTGAATATGGGGTACTGATTCAGGACAATAATGTATAAGATCAGGGATAAATAATGACAAGTTAGAAAGCAATAATTGAGATAATAACAAGCTGCCCAATCCTCCTGGAGTGGGTTGGGAGCAGTATGATTGAATGTAGTAATAGTGTGGAACCCCTTCCCAAGTGATGAGAGATCATATTTATACATATATGTGAGCTCTATACTAAATGACCCAATAGAATCAATCCAAGTGTATAAATTTTTTAGTATGTTATCATCCTTGAAAAATGAGCCTCGGGAGGAGTTATAACTGCCTCCCTTGTCTTCTTTTTGATAATTCCCTATTTCGTCTTCTAGTGTGTTCCTCGACTGGGAGTAAGGTACTGATTGAGTAGTTAGGTTCTGAAGCACAAGCTTAGCCTCAGTTGACCCCATGTTTCCTTGATTCTGAACTCTCCTTAGGCTGGTTTATTGATCTTACTGAGACAGAACCAACAAGATGGGTTAAAATGGCAACAGGTATTGAACTTGATTTTGTGACATCCTGGTTAGAGAAAAGTTATAAATACCACCTTGACATTCCTAATGTGTGTGTTTGTCTTCCAGCTTTTGAGGTTTGCGCAATTTATTTATATTAATGCTAGAGAAATGTGTGGCTTTTTTTTTATTGCATACTGAATTTAGGCATTGTTAAAAAGTTTAGGGATTGATACAACAATAAAAAATCATTTCTCGCTCTTCTACCCTTAGTATAAATGACTAGGGAGATTCTTAGTGTTTGATAAGAAAGACACATAATTATGTACTTAATATATGACATTATCCTTAGGGAGTCGAAATGCCTTTGTGGATTATCGAATGTTTAAATTTTCTTCACTGACCTGTGTCCAAGCAAATCATATGAACTACAAGTCTACAAATGCAAGATTGCAAGAAGAGGTACTAGGCTTTGTGTAGGTGCATTTAACTATCCTAGTCATGGAAGGTCCAAATGGCTTAATGGCATGGCCAACTTGGTCTTAGTTGCATTTATACAGTGCTTGTGATTCCCCCACTTCATCTCAAGTCTCCTTTAAATAGCCTTGGGCCCATGAATGCTCACCACACTTGTCTCAGAACTCAGAAGCGTGCTGACTGCTACTAGTACCTTGCCTATTAGACTCTGCTCTAGCATAGCCCTATGACCGTAGCAGGATTCCCACGGCAATCACACTGTATTTAGGGAGTCGGTTTAGAGTTTAGACTATTTTTCACTCACGCTTTGTGGTATCTCACCAAAATTGGATTCTTTGTCCGTCTCTTGCAAGATTCGCCCTCGTCTAGGTACCGTGCTGCCGTGCTCTATACATGAGTGCGTGACCAATTCTAATCTTCATGTTACACATAACTTATTATTGCTTTTTGTAGTGATATGGAGGTAACCAATTGTTATACCATGGACCAGGGTTCATATTGCATTGTGAACCCTAGTCCAAAAATTATGTGTCATTTTGTACTTGCACTTAACAATTTTTGTACCTGTAAACAAATTTAAGGCACATCATATGGTAATTATAGACACATAAACTGTTAATTGCAGAATATGTTAATTGCCGACACATAACATTTTGTGTCTGCCGTTAATACATTCTGGACTTGCAGTTAACAATTTATATGTTTGTAATTATGTTATGTGTTTGTAATTATGATGTGATGTGCATTGAATTTGTTTATAGGTACAGAAACGATTAACTTTAGGTACAGAATTTAAAGGGGGAAGGCTATTTTGTGGACCAGGGTAGGCAACAAAGATTGTATTTGAAACATCTTTCACTGAGTCAAGTTGAGGTTATTGGACTATAACCTCAACATAGTTACAAAACCAGTAAAGTAAAGTGGATAGGGATAAGGTACATACTGGCTTCCGGATAAACAAGAGAAGTGGCAACAAATACACTACATCCCGGCTCGGCTCTGCAGTTCACAGGGAATATTGATTGATAAATATTTAGGTTGAATTGATTTCACCTCCCCGGTGGATGGATGGATGGATCACTATAATTAAACATTGTAATTATCATGGGTGAAAAAATCGTTAAGCGTTCCCCGCGCCCATGTATTCTTTATTTTTTAAAATTTTGTTTAAATTTTTTTAATTCAAGACTTGATAATTATAAACTATTTAATATTGTAATAGTTAATATTAAATATTAACTTAAAAAGATCTAGAATTTGAACAATTTAGAGTTATTTTGATCAAAATGATTCCGTTTTGAGTGAAATAACGCATTTAAAAAAGAAAGAACCGACTAGGTAACTTAGTCAGCCGCCTAGACCACTGATTATGATGATACACTAGGTGTCATCTAGCGCTTAGGCGCCAAATAGGCGAGATTTTTGCAACACTGATAATTATTGATCTTGAGTGGAATTCGTTATGCGTGTAGTGTAGGAAGGTGGGGGAGCTGCCAAACCACCTCAAGGACAATTGGCAATGGTTGGGTAGAAGATGGAACAATAATAAAGGGAAATTGAAATCAAAACTGGATGAACCAAAGAGAGGTTCACACTCTGCATTAACTATGCTACTTTGATGAATAACTCTGCCGTTATTATATGCAAATACCACAAAAGAGCTGAGCTGAGCTAATAAAAACACTTTTTTTTTTTCTACATATGGATATCACCACCCCTCATCCTTATCTCTATTTATTTCTCTAGGCCCCCTTTCACACATCCAACTAACCAAATCAAATAATACATGCATACATACATACATACAAACTGAGATGAGTGTTTGGCTTATCTCAATGAGATTGAGTGGCCACATCAAACAAACTCCCCTCTCTACCAGCAATCTCATGTTGTTTGTATGTATATATGTATGTATATCCCAAGGGACCCAAATGGAGCCATTCCGTACGCCTCCTCTGCCCTGCAACTCTCTCTCTCGAACGACCAGATCACATGCATGCTTCGGCAGCATTGAGGCGTGCCAACTCAAATGTTATTTTCGCGTTTTCTGACCACTCTCTTCTTTACAGCCGTACTGGCAATCCATAATTGTGGAACGACCTAATCCGCCCATCCCACCCTGCAGTGACAATAACTAAACTCCAGGCGTGACTCGAAGATGAAATTTGGTAAGAGCTCTTGAGGAACTTGTATTCAGACTTGGACATGGGCGGTGAATTATGGGCACTCGATACAGGAAGCTTTTCCTCCGGCCAAGTTGCAGAGCACTTAGGAATCGCCTCCAAGAAAAATTCATGGCCCAGAGAGGTGAAAGAGAAGGGCAAACCGCTATTTAAAGTTTCATCGCCTCCATTTGACTCACACCCGCTATCTGGCTCTCTAAATTTCAAGCCGGACCAAGGCACTGCAACAGACGCATCACCTGAGAAGAACTCGAGTCCCCTCACCACTTTCGTTTTGGACGGGGAAGATTCTTTAGGACTAGCGTAATCCCACAGATAAACGTTAAAATCTTCAGCTGCAGAGATAATATGCTTCCCATCGGACGTGAAAGAGGCAGAGATCTGATGCCCACAATTCCGAGGCCCTATAGTGCAGAAGAGCAAGAAAGTTGGCAAACATAAACCAAACGGTATTGCAGGCAGACCGCAGATAATCAATCAGCTAACAGAATAATTCTACGAGGGAAACGGGAGTACCTTTATACTTGCCAATCACATTGATCCCGTTGATGATTCTGACATCGGAGTCCGCACAAGTAACCATTACTTTGCTGGGGTCACTTGGAACAAACTGCATTCAGATTTATTTTTTTCCATGTCAAACAATCCGAACCATTGAAAGAAACAACACAGATCGTGTGAGGACAAATTAAAACAACCTGAATGCCAGTAATCCTTTTGTCGAGGGACTTCTTTTTACTGATCATGCAAAGTTGTGGTTCCAGTTGGATGCGATTCTCTGAAAGCCCCAAGAGAACAAATGTCAATGAATGTACAACATAAATAGTAATATCGCCTCAAGAATAAGATAATCAAGTTTTTTACTCAAAATAATATCGCACAACTATCTCATAAACCAACTAAACTATATATATAGGGGAGGGTTCAGGTGAGAACACTCCCCCCCTGTAAAAAGTGTGGAAACATCCACACCCTACATCTTGACAAATCAAAGGCTAGGATTTTACCATTACTAAACTTTCCAAGTTTATAATGATTATCAAATGAACCATGATCTTAAAAGTTTTTAATAATTATAAAATTAACCCCGTGTTTTTTTTTACTAAAACCCTCAACCATTGATGAACTCTGATGGATAGCTAAGATCAGTCCTCACTTTTTACAGGAGGATCATGTTCTCATTTGATCCTGCCCCTATATATATAATAAGACTCCCACCTAGCCAAAAAAAGGATACTTTTACTTTTCATCAATTACCAAATCCAAACTAAACAGTGAAAACCAAGATTCAACTAATGTTCCATATACCCACAAACATCATAACTCAATATAATTATTCTAAATGGTGGTAATAAAAAAATTCAAAATCATGGCCTCCTAGTCATGTTAAGAAAAGCAACTAAACTGTTTTCTTGGAGACACAAGACATCAGCATAGCAACCAAAAAAGAGCATTACCTGTTACGTTGAAAAAGTGACAAGTGCCTGTTATAGACCCAATAATCCCGCCCTAAAATCAAATAAAAACACGTTATCAATCTTGATTTCGGTAACTATATCTCAGTTTTAGAAGAAAAGAGTTGCAAGACCAGCAGACCTGACCACTTGGATGATATGAAACAGCGGTGACTATGTCTCTTATTTCAGCCCAGTGAACTACTTGACCACCATCAGTAGCCCAAATACGTATCTTTCCATCAATTGAACCGCTAATGAAGTAGCCATCGTTTACAGGATTAAACTCAACACAGGTAACTGCATCACATTAAAACATAAAGAAAACAAAACGAAGAAATAAGGCTTGATGGAATAAATGTTAGAAGAGAAAATTAAGACAAAATTTAACTGGTGAGTACCATAATTACTATGTGAAAATACTCTAAGGCACTGGTCCAATCCAACTTGCCAAAGACGCACAGTTTTGTCAATTGAGGAAGAAAGAAGAAGCTGCAGCAGAAAACGAGTGTGAAAATAGTTGCGAATTAAACTAGAACAATAGAGTATAATGAACATACGTTATTCTTTGACCAGGAAAGATGCGAAATCTCTGCACAGTGCCCATGGAAAACATGTAGAGGATTCTCCTGAATTCGAAAAACCTTGGGAGGGAGAATGACACAGGCCGAGTCTGCTGCTTTTCTGATGCCTGTCAATTTATGAATTCTTTCTTTCTCTGATGCCATGGGTGTCAATTGAGAAAGATGGTTCACTGAAAAGTATAAGCATGATGGATCGAACTCTGGGATATCAAAGTCACTGGATCTCTCATCTGCTACAACTTGCCACACACGCAAAATCTTATCTTCACCAGCACTTGCTAGATACTGCCCGTCAAGGCTGAATTTCATTGTTAGAATCGAACCATCATGCGCTGGAATATCTTGCCCCATAAAAAGGGCAGATAGTTCCTTCGAATTCTTTCTACAGTGGTTAACCTTAACCCTCTGAACTCCAGTCCCGTGAATAGGGCTAGAGGCATCGGATTTTAAATTCTCTGTTTTCCCTTCACTATTCATTAAGTCTCTAATCAAGCGCAATCTATTCAAGCAATGACTCTTCACTCTTTTCAGTATCGTCTGAGCTTTCCCATTCACCGGACTTTCTCTTTGTCTGCGTTGCTGAGCCGAGGGGGATTCACACGAACGATCCTCAAAGTCTAACCCCACATTTGGGTGATTACTTGACATGAAATGCTCTGCCAAACTGCGTTCTTTGCAGTCCACTTCGCAATCTGTATTGCCACTTCCAAATATGAAGTTCGCAAGTGAACCCGACTCTTGTGATGAACCCGACGCAGAAGATTGGCTAAAGGAAAATTCATCTTTAGAGATGGAGTTTCGCAGCACAGACCCAGTGCTTACCATAATTCGATCAATCTCTTCACTAAGGGCATTGGCACCACCATATAAATCATCTGGATCTTCACTGGGCACCCTATCTAACGATAAGTCCATCCATTCATCAAGGAACTTCCTACGGCGCTCTCTTACACTTCTGGGCCTTCGAACCCACAAATCATATTCATAGCTATCAGAGGTAGACTCCAGGCAACTAGAACATAAATCAGATCCCTGAGCAATAGTCTCAGGGGCATCAAAATACCGACATTCCCCTTCATCGTCACTGAAGCTACCCATGGTACCTCGAGTTCACCCCATGAAATCCCACCTCAAGACATCACCTCTGTTAGCCATAGACAATGTAGGTAATTTGTTCCCTTATGATAGAACCTGACAAGAAGAAAATAAACTTAAGTATAACCCAGCAGAAACACAGACACAACTACCTAGAACATAAAGCCATAAATAAATAAATACTACAAGTTCAATTATTCTAGCAACACACTTCCTACAATGTTTACAGCTAAACAGAAAAAGAACAATACAGATCCAGCATGGATCCCAACCCACACCCATTGAACCTGGTCTCCAAAAAGAAACAATCCCAGAGACTAAAACTTCAAAAAAAATCATAAGAAAGAAGACTTAAATATTATATTTTTTTTTTGCATAGAAACATGAACCCTAAGTCAGTAGCCATCACCCAGAAAACAGAATAATAATAAACTAATAATAACAACAACATCCAGAAGTCATAAGCAAATAAAAATCAAAACCGACTACCAGAATGGTAAACAGTGATGAACCCAGAGCCCAGAGATGAATTCACCACATTTCATTTGGAGCAATCGGAAAAATTAAACAAAAAAAAAAAAAAAAATCTTGAACATTTATCGTACAAAAGCAAATCATTGAAAAAACAAGAAATTTAACAAGGCAGATGCTTTCTCACATGGGTATAATTGAATCTGTGCAGGATAAAATTGGTCAGCATTGATAGCAAGATTTACGAAGGCGTAAATATGGGTCTTCGTTCCTCTCTCTATCGCCTCTTAAGCAAAGAAGAGAGAGGACTGACCATTAAAGATGAGGGAAATGAAAAAATACGGAGCAGTGTAAATGATGAAAGAGAAGGGTGGTTAGTGTTAAACCAGGGAAATTATAAAAAGGAAACCATTTTTGGAGAGGGGGGAAAATAAATTAATTAAAAAAAAAAAAAAAACAAGCAGAAATTTTGCTTGATATTCGTTTGTACGAATGGCCCGATTAACGAGGTTTGGAAAGTGGTGACTGGTGAGGTGAGTGTAGATGTAAGATGATGGCTCTTTCTTTCCAGAGTTAATGCAACCTTTCATTACGGAACGTATAGTAAGACAACTTACGGGAATAACTAACAAATGTTTCCACTAATATTTTCTACAATTGGACCTCTCAATTATTAACACGACCCGTTAACACAAAAATAATGGGCGGGTTTTAAACATTGTCTGACACAGACTACTAAAGCACAAAGCTCTATTAGAATGTAATAGATCTGACACAAAGAGCCAATAACATCTTTACTGAGATTCGAATTCACAAGCTCCTATATGGGAGTCCAACTCAGGTGTCATTAGACCATAAAGTCTTGACAACTCATTGTTATTTAATATAAAATGAAAGTTAAAAACTAAAAAATCCTAAAGACTTAGAAATTTATGTTCTTATTTTTACGCTTTAAAGATATCTCTCACGGGTTCTCTCTCTCTCTCTCTCTCTCTCTCTCTCTCTCTCTACACACACACACAAATAGGTTTAGCGGGTTTAGACGAGTTTTGTGTCGTATCGTGTATTTTAACCTGTTAACTTTAACGAGTCGTATTTGTGTAGTTATTATGTGATTCGTTAACGAATTTGTATTCATGAATTGCTAGGTTTTAACTACAAAAGAATGGTAACAGTGATGTCATCGGATTACAAAGTACTTGACGCCTATACTAATTTAATAAAGGTAAAAAAAAGAAACCACAAGGTTTCATGTTTATTCTCAATTAGAGAGTGATCTTTTGATTTGAGCCTATCAATTGAATTTAGGCATGTTTTGTCACATAATACATTTACTAAAAAAAAATTGTACATGAGATTGCGAATTGTTTAAAGTTGATAAAATGTGTTTGTATTTGTGTAAAGAGATATTTTGTTATACATACTGTGCCTCAAGCCCTCAACCCAATATGTAAGTACAAATTAACACCCCTATTTAGGGTGTGAATTTTTGGAAACTCGAAAAATAATTTTCAGAGGTTATTTTTTAGAGTTTGGTACTCAAGTAAAATAAAGTTAAAGAAAAATATTCATTTTAGACAGAAGACATTTTTCGGATTATTTATTTTCCATCTCTCTTCCATATCTTCATTTTTAAGTTAGTTCCCGAATTATTATTATTACAACTACCATGACACCACCACCACAACCACACCGCCACTTCTACCACAAACATAAACACTACTACCACCACAACCACATCACCATTGCCACCACAAAATCAACACTACCACCACCACCACCACCACCACCACCACTACCACTACCACTACCACTAATACCAACACCACCACAACCATACCACCACCATCTTCACACCATCACAATCACCACAACATTATTATTGTTGTTGTTGTTGTTGTTATTATTATTATTGTTACTACTACTACTATTATTATTAATACTATTATTATTATTATTAGTATTACTACTACTACTATTATTATTATTATTATTATTATTATTATTATTATTATTATTATTATTATTATTATTATTATTATTATTATTATTACAGATAGTATGTTTATTTTAAGGAAAATGAACCAAACAGAAAAAATGTAATTTCTTAACTTTCATTCAAACAGAGAAAAAGATAATTTTATAACATTCATGAAAACAATAGAAAATTAAAATATTTTCAGAAAGTGAATCATTTTCTGAAAATTGTTTTACGAAAAATATTTTTCAGGTTTCTAAACGGACCATAGTATATCTAAACATAAATTTGATTCTAATGTGGTTTAATATTTTACTTATACTCAACTCAAAGTTTGAACTTATAATATATAATTTATAAATATAATTATAAATAATAGGAAAATTTCGAATGTGTTGATTATTATACCCAAAACTGTCATTTAGATCATATAAAGTTGTACAAAAAACAATTGAAAATCACTACCAATAATATCCAATATGATACATTGTTCCCAGTGAATATAATTTGGGAACAATGATGATAGTAAATAGGATCGATTACCCAAAAAACAAAAATTCTCATAAATGATATATTAAATGATAATTACTTAATTAATTACTTCATTAATTCTAATCTATTTTGTTGGAATTGGAAAGCATTTATTCATGTGTTATAATTGAAGTGTTTAAACTTTAAAGTTAATAAAATTTAATAAAAGTATGACATGCATCCTTTTAGAATATTGGGTTTATCCAAACGAACTAAAAATTGAAGTAGTTCCTTCAAGATATCGTGTCTAAAAAATCACTTAAAATTTTTATTGCAAATAAAATTTAGGTATTCCTTAAACTTACGTGAAACTCATGCCTACACTTTACATTAAATTTACGTATATATAATTATTGGCTATCTATGAGCATATTCAAACGTTTTAAAACGAAAAAGTACACCACAGTAATGAGGTCAGACTTGGCTTTGAAGCGAAAGTGCAAAGAGAAACATCGTTTTTTCACATAAAGCAATGTTTTTTTAAAAAATAATAATTACTCAAATAATGATGCAAAATAACATATAGAATGATTAAATACAAATTCTAGTGCAAATAATCAAATATACTCAAAAGTCTACTCTAAAATAATGATCATCTCACAAAGTTATTATAAAGTCATAATAAAGTCACAATATCATAATAATAGTATAATACAAATATGTTGTCTCATAAAGTCATAACGACTCATAAGTCAATAAATAATAATTGCTAATAACATCAAGTCATCAAAAGATCAACTCAAATATGAATGATCTACAATGATCATTTATCCTCCTCCCTATCAAACCTATCTATAAAATTCAACTTCTTCATCACTCAAATTATCAAAGTTAACAACGTAACACCACCATCATCAAAGATTCTCTCTCTTTTTCACCAACATCATCCTCATCAAGAAGTCTACATTTGGAAACTTTTTTTTTTCCCTTAGACTTTGAACTCTTCATCTTGATACCTAAGGGAATAGGGTATTATGGTGTTTCATCTATATCGAAAAACCTTGTAGTATCTCCCCAGGTCAAATTATGCATATCATTAAACACTAATTCTTCATTAACATCATCCGAGACACTTAAAACATTCATTGACAAAAGCCAGTTTGATTTGGATTAATGGTATTCTACATTGCTCATTGACAACTCAATGCTTTTTTGTTTTATACTTAATTAAGACTAAATCATTATGCCACATGTGCTTTAGCCGACTTCTTGTTTTGGAATGAAACTAAAAAAAAATTAAAGTTAGTTAAATATGCTAATTATTAAATATTTAAATTATTGACTCAAATAGATGATAGCTTGGCTAACTTACATATTCTAACACACTCCAATTTCTTTTACATCTTGATGCACTAGTGTGGAGATAGGGAATCTTAATTGCAAACTCCGTCTGATGTGGAGTTGAACTTCCAAAAGAACCTTGATGGAATGGTAATGGTCGAGTTATGGAAGCAAAGAGGTAGAATGGAGTGGAGTCATGGAGAACGTAAAGTGTTCCATTAAACCAGAAAGAGAATACATGATGACAATATATATAGAGATAAAGTGCGGCAAAGACGGTTGCAACAGCTGCAACAAACTATAAGCAAAGCAAATTACAAGATAGCCCTCAAGCTATTTCTCATCTGTTAGCATCATCTTCACTGGATTGCTTCATTACCCCCCCCCCCCCCCCGGTAAGCTGGAGCATGCAAATCTTGTATGCACAGCTTAGAAACGAAGTTTTGAAATAGGGAAATAGGAAGAGGTTTAGTGAAGTCGTCTGCCACCTGGTTTGCTGATGAAACTGACAGAATTTTGATTATTCATTTGCTCAATTTTTTCCGGACTATATGGCAATTGATGTCGATGTGTTTAGTGCATTCGTGGAAAATGTGGTTTTTTGCAATGGCCACTGTCGATTTACTGTCACAATATACCATAGCAGGCATGGTTGTTCCAATCTGTAAGTCAGCCAGTAAGTATGTGAGCCATTGGATTTCGCAGACAGTGGCAACAAGAGCACGATATTCAGCCTCGAAAGAAGACTTCAAGACTGTGGTTTGCTTCTTCGATCTCCATGAGATAATGGCAGGTCCAAGGAAGATGCAATACCCTGTAATGAATTTCTGTGTTTCACAACACGCTGCCCAATCGGAATCTGAGAGAGCTTTGAGGTTCAAGCTAGTGCTTGCAGGGTACAACAACCCTTGACCTAGTGAAGCCTTTATATATCACAATACACGATGGGTCGCTGATAGATGCAAGTTTATGGGAGCATCTACAAACTGACTTAGTTGTTGGGCTGCATAAGCGATATAAGCCTAGTAGCGGTGAGATATAATAATCTGCCTACAAGCCGTCTATAAACAATAACATCAGTAAGAAGAATGTCTTCATTATGTAAGAGTTTCAAACTTTGTACCATGGGTGTCTTGACTGGTTTGCAACCAAGAAAATCACTTTCCTACAGAATATCTAAGGCAAATTTTCGTTGGCATAAGTTTAAGCCCTCTGCAGTCATATTTGCTTCTATTCCCAGAAAGAAACTTAATTTCCCAAGATCCTTGATATTAAAGGTGTTGTCTAGGAATTGATTTAGAGACTGAATGAGGTCCATCCTAGCACTGGTGACAAGGATGCAATGTCATCTACATAGATGAGCAAGGCAATGAAGTTGTTCCCATCTCCCTTGGTGAATAAGGATGGATCAGCTTTAGACTGCACGAAACCAATCTGGACAAGGGCTGTAGTTAATTTTGCATTCCATTGGTGACTTGCCTGCTTGAGGCCATATAGATACCAGAGTAATTTGCATACTTGATTTGGCTTTTCACTTTCAAACCTGGGTGGTAGCACCATGTACACCTCCTCATTTAGATCACCATGCAAGAACGCATTATTGATGTCCATCTGATG